GCCTGAATGTTGCGCGGCGCGCGACGTTCCCATGGCCAGGGGCGACCGGCATCACCTTTGGCACCTTTTCCGCCATCACCGCCTTTGGCGCCTTTTCCGCCATCACCACGACCGGCAGCAGGTTCGCCTTTTCCGCCATCACCACGACCGGCAGCAGGTTCGCCTTTTCCGCCTTTCTGCCCGGCTTTGCCTCCGTCTCCGTCACCTGTTCGACCGGCATGTGAGGGCCCGGACGAAGAGGAGCTGCGACCGCCGGGAAGGGGGTCATTGGGGTAGCACCCCATCCTGGCGGCGGTCCTTTCGACCTTCTGTGAATCCCCCACCCTCGGCTCTCTGACCGGCACCTTGGCGGAGTCGAAGCTGTCGATGGTGGCAACGCTGCGCAACGAGGCTGTCTCTAGACCGGCGTGAGGATCAAAGTACTCAGGACCGGCAGCTTCATCATCAGCCTCGGCTCCTCGACATCAGCCCAGCCCCCCAACAACAAACACCAGCAGCAAACAGGCACAACCAGGCAAGTCAAAACAATAGCTAGACCTGCCTCGGCCTTCTCGGATGGGGTTCAAAAGCCGGGAAGGCGTCGTCGCTCCTCAGGGTCGTCTTTGGCCCCCCAGACTTAGCAACAGACTCGGCTCGGTCCAGCCTATATTAAGACTCAACTTTGCCACCTGCCTCTACTTCTTGGCGGCCTTCCAAGAGTCTGGGTCTGACCGGCACCTGTGCATGAAACATATCAGACACAAATTGTATGCTTGAACCGGCGTGGCAACACCTTCTTCAGGCGTAGCAGGCTCTCGAGGCGTGGCAGGATGGACCGGCTGAGCAACTCCTGCAGGGTCAATCATGTCAAGGTCGTGTGTGATGGCGTGGCAACACCTTCAGGCGTGGCAGGCTCTCGAGGCGTGGCAGGATGGACCGGCTGAGCAACTCGTGCAGGGTCAATCATGTCAAGGTCGTGTGTGATGGTTTGGAGGATGGGACCTTGCGGATCTGGAGTCCAGGTCCCTGGAGGAGTGAAGGAGACCGGCGTCGATGCTGGAGTCGGGGGCTCTGTAGGCCCAGTAATGACCGGCTGGCCTCGGCCGCAGAATCATAGCAGCTAAACTCTTCTCTCAACAATCAAACGAACCCACCTCGACCGTCCGTGGGCAGAGTCATGATCGTCCGCAGGAGGTATGATGCTCAAGTACCCACTTCATGTTTCGAAACATTGCTGGAGACATTCATGACCGTCGTGCTTTTGCTTCGCTGTGACTGTGACTGTGAGACATGTCCTTACATGCCGTGGACACATGCTCGGTACTGTTGAGCCTTGTTGCGGCAGAAGATCTGTACTAGCCAGCCAAGAACTTGCCGACCGACCAGTGGACACGTGTGCTGCAGAGCCCGGCCTCCTGGGCCTCATCCAGGCCCACGGCACGGCTGTCTGCAAACCTCCAGCAGCAAGACAACAGAACTCTTCTGCCGCTTAATGCTACAATGGCCTGGTCAAGGAAGGCCACGACAAGCGACCGACCTCACTTGTGTGACTACATGGGCTGGAATCCTGGAATCTGCACTTGTTCACGACGTCCAAGGGCAAGGCAAACATGGCCAAAGGAGGAAGCACACTGTCCTCGCAGGTGAAGCAATGCAATCCCAACTCAGCAACCTACTATGTTTGTCAGGATGCAGTACATAATACGCGAGCTCGTCTTTTTCAGATGACCGGCCCGGATCACTGAAATCCTTCCTCGAGGCTGCGAGGAAATTCCTCAGCGCCTAGAGGAGGGACCTGAGGGCATCCTGGAAACCAGTTCAGTCGACCGGCCCACCACTCACTACCGCTGTGGGCGGCCAGGTGTTGGAGGAATATTGGCAGGGCCAAAGCTTTGTGGATGACCGACCGGCCGCTGGAGCTGCACAGGGACCATCATGGGAGGCTGCTGCTGCGCAGGGACCGTCATGGGAGGCTGCTGCTGCGCACTGACCGGCCGAGGCTGCTGCTGCTGCTGCGCAGGGGTCATCATGGGAGGCTGCTGCTGCGCACTGACCGGCCGAGGCTGCTGCTGCTGCTGCGCAGGGGCCATCATGGGAGGCTGCTGCTGCGCACTGACCGGCCGAGGCTGCTGCTGCTGCACAGCGGCTGGATTGGGCCTTGCAGGACTGAACGGCTGCGCCGGACCGGCGGGACGTTGAGCACCAGGCAGTGGACTGGTGGAACGTTGAGCAGCGCCTCCTTGATGACGGGCAGGTGGCTCAACCTTGGACTTCGTAT